AAAAACCCCAGCTCCTTTTTCTGAAAGAATGAGTGTCTTTCATAAGGAATCTTTCACTGCAGCTATCAGTGTCACTAGGAAATGAAAACTTACAGCAAGATGCCAGAAAATGTTACTTATTATATCACCACAACTCTACAGGCCCAGTCACTTGTGATATAAACAAAATGAACATTTCTGTAATTTTTTTTAAAACAAGTAGTTAAGCTAGTGGAAAATGAAGAGGTGTATGTCTGACACTGAAGAAAACCCATTTTGTAATTCACTTCATCCTGCTTTTTAAGAATTCTTTCTGTAGCAGCTTTCTTGTCACAGTGCTCGTACATATGAAGGAGCTGTTTCCAAGCAAACTACTGCGGCTAAAAAGTGCAACAGCTATTCAGCACTAACTTTCTTCACCTGGTTGCTTTTCTTTAAATACATTTACAGGCAATTTTGGTTAGTCCCCTTCCAAAGCACAAGTTAGTGCAGAATGGCTAGTCTGAGTGATTTCTGATGTAGACATGACACAAAAAAATTCCGTTCAGTAGAGAAGATGTTTCCTGCTTCTAACAAAGACTGAATGATGGTGGGCCAGATGCGAGAAAATACTAGGTTTTAGCAGTTGCGTCCTTTAATGACAATTACAGTTCAGCAAAGGTGACTCATAGCGGTTTGTATAAAAGCTCTGAGTTTTTTCAGGCCAGTTTCATTTCCAGAAGGAAATCTGGATAACCGACTCATGTAGACTCTCTCCTACTTCTTTGCCAGTGGCACTGTCAGCTGACACCTGGGCTGGGGTTTACCTACCATACCTCTATGAGTGTCAGCATTAGGCACTTAGTCTAAAGTAGGTGGTTGCTCCCCTCTCTGTAACAAGCACAGGCTCATCCAAGGCTCCTCCCTTTTCAAGACAGGCACCTAAAACAAACGGGAGGGGTTGCCTTCTGGATGTCTTTTCACATTTCTGCATTGACCTTAGGGGGACTAGTGACTAGTTTAAATTAGGCACTTGATTCTTAAAGGGGCAAAAGTAGGTGAACTGAATTAATTAAAGTTTTGGATTAAAATAATTATACTGGGGAAATATACTACATCACATAAGTTGTAAAAAGGCTATCCCACAGGACTAATGTATGCAAATAGGGTATAAATATTTTGTAAATTTCAGATATCTGTCAGCGAAATTATTATAAGCATGACGTTGACTACCGTCTGTCAAGTCATTCAACTAAAATGTATTAAAGCCTCCAGTGAATGTGAAAGCGTCGTGCCCCAATTCCCCAGTCCAACTGATGCAAGCAGACCCTCCTCAAAGCTCCATCAGTGTTAATGAGATCCCGCACAGTTACAAGGGTCTGCAAATACAGATGAGACTGCAGGCCATCATTGTTGCTTTGAGGCTTCATATTCCCTGAATTTTTAGGATAAAGAAAGAAACTTACCTGTTCAAATCACGATGTATGATTGGTTGTGTAAGATTGTGGAGGTACTCCATGCCTTTGGCAACATCTACAGCAATGATTAATTTAGACTGCAGATCAAGAGTTCTATATTTTGAAAAAAAATATAATGTTACTCAAAGTTAATAAACAGACAAGAATTATCTGTAAATTATTTTTATCTGTAAATCATGGAACCTTTAAAATTGTTTTAAATACAAAATAATGTTATATAATCTATGTAATGTAAATGTATATAATGTAAAATAATGACTAAATAACAATTTTGTGATTACTTATTAATTTCCCTTGTACACCCAATAATCTGAATGAAAGCTAGAATTTTTCTAGTGTGTTCCTTTCTCTATTGTTGTTTACTGAAATGAATAACATTTACATCAGCATAGGTTTACTGGTCTTCTGAATTCTGTACCACAAGCCCAAGCAGAGAACGAGCGGAATACCTCTTCTGTTCATGAAGCAGGGAGAAGAGCGATCCTCCAGAAATATACTGAGTGACTATAGCAAACTGACTTGGGTCATCTAAGCAAGCTCCCACAAACTGGATGACACATGGATGATTCAATCGGCAGAGAATAGAAACTTCACGACAGAACATGTCCACGTCAGATTTGGAGCAGTAGGTATTGGCTCGATAGCTTAGAATTTACATGAGAGAAAACAGTAAGGCAAAAATATAATAAAATATGGGGTTTTTTAAATACTTCAAACTAGGTCATTAACCAAAACAAGATGGAAAAGTCTGATAAACTTACCGTTTGATTGCGACAATTTTATTTCTGCATCGTCCCTTATATACTTTTCCAAAAGACCCTAAAATGGTTTAAAATAAATAACCACAAAGATATTTATTATCAACATCAGACATTTAAAACAGATGCATTCTTATTTCTGGTACCCGAGCCGATAATCTCATGGAACTCTATTTCAGAGAGCTGAAGATGGAAATGTGATGGCAAACCAGCACGGAGGAGGAGAACATCTGCCTTTTCTGCAAAAGAACACACTTATCCTATTTGTAAAATGCGGGGTCATGGAGAAGGACAGAATGTAAGCATTTAACTTCACAAAATTGTTGCACAGTAAAAGCTGATTTTCCTCCTGTAAATTGGTTGACTGGTAATCCTATTCCCTTTTCTTTCAGTAACCACAGTAAACCGCAATAACAAATACTTGCAATGCTACAGTTGCCTTGGGCTTTCTTGGCTTTAAAATCTTACCAGTGATGAACGCTGTCCCATAAGCATATTCTGCCTGTATCATGTCATGGTTGCATAAAATTCTTTATACGGAGAATTAGTTCCCTTTTTTCTGTATAGCTAGTGCTCATTACTGATGCAGGAGTTGTTATTCCAGATCTGACTGACTCTTTAGTGACATGTGAAATCTAAATTTTGCAACTTAATTTAGTTAGCAAACTTCTCTACCTTGTCGATCTTTTTGGTTTATTACTATAAAGTTTATCAGAATATTTCTAAATGGAATATTTTAATGCTGCTATGTAAAGGATGTAAGGATTTGACTGTATCCAGAGTGAATATTCAAAGTGGAAAATTGAAAGCACCACGAAAAATGAAATATTTTAAAGTACAAATATTCATCTGAATGTTTTATCTATATGTGTTTCAGGTTAACACAAATTATTTTTGGACAGAATTTTTCTTGTAAAGATAATCCAGGCATTTTAGAGTGGAATTCAATACGATATTTGTTTGCATTCATGGATATGTGTGTATTTCATTAGTACTAATTCACAATGACATCCTTTTCTCCAAAGAAATAAAAATATATTTTAAAGTAAATGAAAATAAGATAAATACAGGAGTTATCATGATGCCGAGCAACGAAGCTAAGTATATTGTTTCCTAAAATTATTCTAGGGAAATATAGCTGCTGCTTATGCACATCATTACATTTCTGAACAATGAAAATTCCAGGAATAATGAATCTTGCGTAGTATGTTTAGGCTGACAAACACCTTGGGCAAAAAGACCATAAAAGTTCAAGTTTTCCCTTGCCATTGAGAATACCTTTAGTCATGCTTTTAATCTTTCCTAGAGGGGATGGGACTGACACATAGGAACCATCTGAAATAAAAGAACAGAATGAATTTTATGGAATTCAAAGACGGTATAAACATTTGTACTGACAAATTAATGAGGCAATGATTGCTTAAAGAATGAAAAATAAAGGGGTGAAAATACACATAAGCACACAAACCCATATGATTGTGACATTATATTGCTGCGTTCCTGAAAGTAATTTGGATATAGCTTTACTAAATGCTGTAGAACGATACTGATTTTCACTGGTGTTAAAGAAGGCCAACATAGCCTTTTATGTCAGCTCGGTTCTGCAAAGGAACTCAGATCAGATTCACAAGTTCTGACAGTTGGGCTGCAAGCATATTGCACTGTTTAGTTCACTGACTAGATTTTCCAAAAGACCTCAGCTTTCTCCATGTACCAAAAATTTCATCTCTTGTTTTTCTGCTTAAGTGGGAGCTGAGTTCTTTTAACAATCAGCATTAAGAAATCTGTCTGGGTGTGTTAATTGCTTGCCAAAATAAATTTCCAATACATACATAAACTTAGTCCTCTAAAGATTTACGTACACTTGAGATATACTAAACCTAAACCTGGAACAGGTCAAACTACTCTGCAGAGCTGGAAATGCAGGAAGCAGATTGATTCTGCTGCTGACTGTAGGGTTCCTCCTGTTTCCATGGCAGGAGGAGTCAATGACCTGGACAAGCCGCAATGTATAACTTATTCACTCTCTCTGTAGACAGTGTCAACACACTGCAAAATGTTCTGTTTATCAGCTGCTTTCGTTAACGTTCTTCTTGCCACTTGTCATTTAGTTGCCAATAGAAATGAGTATTTTTGTAGCAAAAAGGGTAATTAATTTTTCCCAAGGGGGAATTAGATATCCAAAGATGTTAAAAAATGTAAGGGGGACTGAGTATAGAAATATACCGAATGTCAGTAATCAAAGGAGCATCAGAGCTAAACAACACAAAGAGAATGGCTAAACAAGGTATTAAGGATGTAAAAAGATATGAGTAATGATTACTAGGGATTGATCTTCATCTCACAGCTTTTAGCTTTTCTTTCTAGTAATACAAAGTGACAACTCTATTTTAAGATAAAGGAAGAATTTTGACATAAATAGAGGGTACCTGGAAAATGGGGATTCTCATGACACTAATTTTTTGTGCCAGACAGAATTGATCCAAAGCTCCCTGACATCTGTGGAATATTCCCAGAGACTTCAGCGGTCTTTGGACCAGACAGTTCGGTTAGAGAATAAAGTGATTTCTCAGACCATACCTCCTCCAGGTTGTGAGTATTCATTACAGGGTGATTCGTCTTGAGGTCTCTTATAATGCTTCAGAAGGGTCACAATGGCATCATGACCTAGGAAAGAAAAAGGAAATATAAGGATTTGCAGGTAAGCGCAATAGTCTTTTTTTTTAATTGATTTATAGAAAATCAGGAGATTTTTTAAAAAATGTGCCTATAAAACATGTAAACAAAGATACAACGGCGCTAATCTGAAACATACTATGATTCTTAACTACAGAAATATAGGGAAATACCTGCCAGTGAAAAAAACCATGTTATTTTCATGAGTCCACCTAATCCTAAGTTGCGATATATGTCAATAGAAAAAACCCTGCTACAGGAGTCCTAAAATGGAAGTTGACAACAGCCTTCAATAGGCCTTACAAGGACAACCAGTGCCTGAAAATATTTCAGTTCTGGTGTCCTAAACTGGACAAAATTTGTACACTATATTGCTGTAGGCAGTTGCTATACTCATCATTCTCCTTTGCAAGGAACCAGAAGAGAGCGGTGTGTGCACAGCATGCTCACTCTCTCGGATGTTTGATGCACAAAGTTCTGCTTGGTAACATTCAAAATTCTTTTCTAAACCTTTCAAAGATGAGTTTTCCCTCAGTAATTTCATACAGAGTATTATGCCAATATCAGGTTTTTGAAAGGCCTTTGAAATCCATAGTTTTACTACATTACAGTCATTCTCATAATAAGTGGTACTGCGATGCTTTTGGAGGAGGGGGGAATGCCCCAGAATCCTCCAACTTTAACTTATATTTTCCCCCATGCCCTAGAAAACATACAGGAAAGAAGAGCACTTTCAAGTTCTTGCTTTGTGCTCACTGTAAATGGCTGGGCTCAGCACTGCTTATTCATACAGCCAGGCCGACGGGAAATGTTCCCGTTTGCTGCTTACAAAGATGAGAGCAGGCAAGAAGAGAAGGAAAAGATACGCATTTGTACTGAGGTCATGGTGCTTGGATCATGTACCAAATGCTACCTATCATTGCCTGTTTCTTCAGTTGCAAAGTTTGTTGGCATTTCTTTAAGGATATTTTTCAGAGATACCCTAATGAGTACAAACTTTTTGGCTTATTACAGGGAAAGACCAGTAAGCCCACAAGTTACGGAAAGGTTGTTTGCTAGATCTTCTAGCGTCCTGCAAAAAAACTTACAACTCCAACTCTTAAGGGTGCTAGAGGAAACAGACGAGGCAGAGGCTTTTTTGCTGACTCTTATCCTGTTATCAGAAGCTACCTTCTACAGCAAAGAAGTCCTGCTGACTCACTAGGCTGCCAGGGACATGAGTTCACACCAAAGAGTGTCAGCATAATGGAACAATTCTCTAAAACATAGGAATTTAAATCAAGAACAGGTTTTTACAGATAGCAGCTTTCTGGACATCCAAACTCAGAGGATGCTTGAACTAAATGTTTGAAGTGTTATCACTTAACATAAATGTTAACCCAAAGAAGATGGTCGCTTCTTTATCAAAGCAATGAAGAGACTGTCTTCCACAGTCCATAAGGGTGGAATGGCAATGCCAGGAAGAATAAACTGAAGGGTATCCCACATAAATACATGCTCTCAAACACCGATGAAATCCATAAATGGATGTGAACATCAAAAACATTTTCAGGAAGAAATAAAGCTTTTTATTTGTGTGGAGTCAAAAAAAGGACAGAAAACTGACACATTGCTGTACATATAGGACAGGAACCATGGAAATGCCTTGCTTTGATCCATATTTGCAAGAATTTAAGATTAGTGACTCTGATTCATCGCTCCTTGTAGCGCCTCCTTCAGTAATAAAATTAAAACTCCTCATGCACATTCCAGAGGGAGAAATAGCCTTTTCTGAACAGGCTGTACGTTTTCTATTTTAGCAGCACATAAATACACCTGTCCTTGAGTTTGTGTTGAATTAAACTGATGTTTAACAGAGTATCTGAGAAGATAAAGAAAAGGGCTGTTTTTTATAACCCCTCATGCTAGGAACTGGAAAGCAGATGGTGAGAGCTCTTAGTCTACAGGGGCTGAGGGGTTATTTTGTACTGTTCTCTCCTTCCTGTACTGTTCTTATGGACTTTGTAGCAGAAACTAGAAAACTGAAATACCTTTCTCATAAGCCCACATCAAACAGGTTTGCTCATCCTTTTCTCCACTGGACCTGCTGGGATCACAAGCTACCAGATTCATATCAGCTCCATTATCCAGTAAAAACTGTACAAGTCGAATATGACCATGGTAGCAAGCACAGTGTAATCCTAGAACATCAGAGAAGCACAGTAAGCACAACTATCAGAACATCATGATAGGACTTGCAGCAACAACTATAAAGCACAAATTTATTTCCTCGATAAAGGAATATATTATAAAAAAAATACCTGAGGCAATAGGTGAAAATAAAATATTAATGCTGCGAGAACCAACCTATTGCCTGCTACACAACATATCAGCTTTTACTTTACCACCTGCAAATCACATTTAACAACTTTGTACGTGAGGAAAAGCAAGTAGAAACAAAGGAGGCTCTTTTTTTCATTGCCTGTAGTAGGAACATGGAGGTGTGCAGCCCTTCAGACACTTTCTCCTATATGCCCATACCCTAGAAGAATAATACTTGGGCCCAATTCTTAAAACTGCTTAGAAGCCTAACTATAGGAGAATCACTTTACATCAGGTTCTCTTACTCATATACAAGCTAATGAGCCTGACACATCCTCACTGAACTCTTATCACTTCTATGCCTGCCTGCAAACATATTACAAAAAAGTTGAGATCTGTCTGAAAGGTAATTGGATGCTGATCATCGAATTATCATGGGAATTACCCTGGAAATCCTGATTGCGTATATGGCTTCCAAATTTTTTGGTGCTGGTATATGCACTCATATACAATAAGGATGATGAAGTTACCTGTATGTCCATCTCTTCCCTGGTGATTGATGCTTACAACATTCTGGTCAAGAAGAAATTTTACAAGTTCTATGTTCTTTCCGTAGGTGCAAGCACTGCAAAAATAAAGGGAAAAGTGAATCCTATAGTCCATAAAAGGACAAAAATTTAAAAAGAATTACACAGAGATAAAAATGTAGTAATAGAATAAAGGATCTTTAGAAATGTGCAAATGCACCAAAGCATGTTCACTTCTGTCATTTCAGAAACATTCTAATTATTCTTGTATAAATTAATTTTGCACAGCTCTGCAAAATTAATACAGTCTGTTTTGCAAAGTGCCTCTTAAATAACACTTTACAAACTTACAGCATCATGACCAAACTGTGTTTTGCCACCTCATTTCTAATTTAGAATATCTAGACTCCAGCAGGTTTCTAGGCAGAACAGGCTCTAAACTCAGCTTCCAAACTGGACAGAAGGTGAAACTGTTATTCATACAGATGTTGATGAACCTGATGCCTTTCCTACCTTTCTCACCCTTACTTGCTCTCTGTCTCCCCATTCACTATCTGGTTCTACCTCTTACTTCATGTTCTCTCCTGTATCTCAGGATACAAACTTAACATCCATGTCGAGCTCACTGCTTTCTTTGTTCCTCATCTGGCTGTTGGTGAGACATTTGTTATTTCGGGTGTTGTATTGCATGCATGTATAAGTGGAATTCTATTGATAATGGCGTTTTAAACATCTCACCTGTGGAAAGCCGTTTCACTGAATATATTTTCTTTAGTGAGACTTTCTGTTCCTGAGAGCTGAATTATTTCCTTGACAACTTCAAACTTTCCACTGTAACACGCACTGAAGATGAAGACAGTAAAGAGTTGTTAACGACACCAGCTTTCTAATTAGGCCCAAACCATGTAAAACAGAGCTTCTCCACATGACTCACAGATGTAAAGGTGTGTCTCCATAGATATTCACCACATGGGGTTGAACTTCGAAGCTGCTCTGGAGTAAGAACTTTACAATTTCATGGTGTCCAAATCGACAGCAGAAATGCAGAGGAACGTGATCCTCATTGTCCTGAGCATTCACTGCCATTTGACCCAGAAAGAGACCAAAGAAAGTATTTTATAGTTAACATAGCTTGTTTTGGATATTTAGTAATGCTTTATGTGTTGTGCACATACGTTATGTAACCTCCTGCTAAAATATTTATGGTCCTATTTCTTTAAAGCTGAAATTTCTGTGAGCTTTCATATATCAAGACTACATTACTCAGTGTCATCTGTCAAGATGATTTTTTGGACTTAGGGTATAATTGCTTTCTTCCAATAGCAGATGTATTGAATGTTTTGATGTAGCTTTCCATGAATGAATCACAAGTTATAAATGACCCTTAGAAAGAGCAATTGCTGTCAGTATATTACAATGTGAAGCAAAAGTAAGATACGTAGTTACTGTATGTAAGAAAGCAATCCACTGAGTTATTCCAAATGCATGGAACAATAGTTATTAATTACACATACTAGGAAGAAACGTACTTCATTGCTGCTCTTAGGAAAGGTAAATCCAGTTGGTTTTAAGGTTTATGTTAGCTTCCTTGAGTAGCAGGATCAAGGGTTGTTGATATAGTTATACAGTGACAAAAAAGAAAATTAAAAAAAATAAAGGAGACACAATAAGGATATATTTTTCACAGTCACTATTAAAATATAAATACATAAAAGGCAAGAACGGAAGAGGAGAATTCATTCAAACGTCTGGATTACCAGTGTTTTCATTTTGCTCAATGTCTCTTTTCACCTGCAAGGATGATTATGTATGCGCTTCACATACTTAAGAGGATGGGAGTATTCTCTGACAGAACATGAAACTATATAAAAGAATGAGCAAAATTGGAGACATAGTATATTATTGTTGGGTGGGAATGGTATTTGTCTCTGTTGGTTCACTATAATTTCACATGGGAAACAAACAATGTGTGATACAAAGGTCTTGTTCTATTTAAGAGATTCGCCCTTCCAGTGCTTTATGTCACAAAATCATGCATTGTGTATGTTGCGCACAACATATAAAAATATATCCAATAAAAGCATTTTTTTCTAATTTTCTGAAGACCAATTCTTGTATCCTTCTACCTGCAAAAACAGTTGCTTTAAACAGCACACAACAGTGTAAGATTAAAAGCAAAAGAAAACTGAAACTCATTCATTCTAAATACCTCTCAAATAAGCGTATGCACGAAGGACTTGAATTTGATGTGATTTCTTAAACTCCTGGCTGGCTCATATTCTCAGACA